CCTACAGTCTTCCCCCGAATACAACGTACGGTCATTATAGCTGAATTTGGGACATCTTTCAGTCTAAATTCACCTATAATGACCGTACGTTGTATTCGGGGGAAGACTGTAGTGTGATGCAGAAAAATAAACTGAACAACTTTTGCCTCAGGGCCATATCACAATTCTTTACCAAATTTAAAATAAAAATTTAAGAATTAAAAACTAATATTTTTATTTTTATGTTTCTAATTATTTTTGGCCCGGCGGGGCACATTGCCCTGGGCCACTCTGGTAGCCTAGATCAAGACATATTTGAATGATATTTCCTATTTTGGGTTTTCTGTTGAGGATAGTATCTGATTCTCCTGTTCCACTGATAGGAACTGGAAGTTCTGAAACTGGTTGGTATACTAACACACACACACACACACACACACACACACACACACACACACACACACACACACACAGAGAGAGAGGGAAAGGACAGGTAAGCAAACAGCTGCAAAATGAGAATGGGATTGAAAAATACACCAAGGGAAAGCAAACCCATTACGTATGGTTTCAGTGAGAAAAAACCGGAAAAAAAAAAAAAAGTACAACGCGAGCAATCCCCTATATTTTGCGATCTCCCTGCAAGCAAAATCTTCACAGGGGGGAAACTATCCTCTGGCCCAAAACCACCATATATGACAAAGATGACAGCTGACCAGAAAAAAACATTTCCAAATCTTTTTGCTTTTTTTTTTAAAGACCATTTAATTAATTAATTGATCTGGTGAGAACAAGAATTTTTTGGAGTTGCAACCTTATTTGTAGGAGCAAGAGAGCTACATGCATGCCACATGACGTGGTGTAAAAACAAAAGGGAATGTACCTCCCTCCCTTTTGGCCTGCTGAGTGCTGCGTACATGAAACTGTCAATAAACAGATCATGAGTTCAGATCCCAAAGGATTCAATGATGTCAGGACAGGGGGTGGAAAAAGAATGTACGAACATCAAGAAAATTTGGCACAATCAGCGAAAGAGAAATAACACACAGACACACACACACACACACACACACACACACACACACACACACACACACACAGAGGAGGAGGAGTTCCGCAGGACATCACAGTCATAAAAATTGGAAAGATAAAAAGAACCTAGACAAGATTAGTATGGGCCTCTGCGCATTCAAGGATGATGGGCCGAAATAGAGAAATGGTCTTAAAGAACTTAAAAACATAAGTTTTTTATTTTTATTTTTTTTGCCCTTCGGTATGTCCCTTTAAAATTGGAGCGATACAGAGAAAGAAGATTCGCATGGCCACTGCGCAAGGATGACACGCATAAATCGAGCTATATATATCGCCAAACAGAGCTGCCCGGTAAACCATAGACAAGAAACGAGGGGCTGTGAGAAACGTCAAACAGAGCTGCGCGGTAAACCGTAGGCAGAGAGCGAGAAGAGGACAAGAAACGAGGGGCTGTGACAAACTGTTTCGTCGGAGTATATATATATATATAGGGGCGGTGCCTGCATGTGGGATGTGTCATCTGGGATTTGTTTTGTTGCCCCCTGTTCTGTATTATTTGGCTGTTCCCTTCCTCTTTTCTTTGCCTCTTTGCCTTCTGGCTGTGTGCAAGTGGGTCGATATGACACACGGGGGTGGGGGCAGCCGCCGCTCAACCTACATCCACGTGGGCGGCCTTGTACGCAAGAGGTTCTGAACAGGGGGAGTTGTAAGGAAGAAGATATAAAAAAACGATTTCATTCTTTTTTCTTCTTTTTTCGCTTTTGCGCTCTCATATTCATGTGATGATATATATATATATCGTCACAATATATATATATATATAAGACAAAGAACAGGAGGACGGAACATTACCTACCACGTGTATGTCCTTGACATCAAATGAAGGATACGGATAAGTTGCAGCGAACTGATCAGGGAAAAGCTGCACCCAAGTGTCGTCTCCAATCATCACCACTTTCTTGCCCTCTTTTTTCAACTGGAGAGAGAGAGAGAGAGAGAGAGAGAGAGAGAGAGAGAGAGAGAGAGAGAGAGAGAGAGAATTCACAAAATACAATGAAAGGGGCATGTCAGTACTCCCAATGAGAAGATACAAAGTCAAACACTCAATCTGTGAGTGTGGGTACACAGACAAAGGTTGCGTTAGGCAGGTTCTCTTTCCTTTTTTCTTTTTTTCCTTTTTCTTTTTTTTCTTTTTCTTTTTTTTCTTTTTCTTTTTTTTTTCTTTTTTCTCTTTTTCTTTTTTTTTTAATTGATGGTTGTTCTATTTCGAGAAATTGTTTTTTTTTTTTTTCTGTTCGGAATTTTTGCTGCTTTTCTACCAGGTATTTTTCCATTTTTTTACTTGGGGGATTTTTTACGTTCCACATTTTCTCAGGGGGAATGTTTAAGAATTTTCTATTGGAGATTTTCCAATTTTTTTGGGTGACTCTCCTTTGTTTTATTCGGATTCTTTTGGAAATTTTCAGAATTTTTATCAGTATTTTTACTATTTTCTCACATATTTTATTAGGATTTTTCCCCGGTTTTCCGCATTTATTATTTGCATGTAACCTAGCTCCATTTTTTTCCCTCAGAGATCGTATACATGCACTTGCGCACGCCGCTGTCGCACAAAAACAAAAAGTGCAAATATTACACCAACACCATCACCAACAACAACAACAACAATAGGGGAAACTACGCAGGAGTCGCAAAAACGACTTATAATAGCACTATGGGCCAAGATACAGTTTCCAATGGCACTTCGGGTAATGTATACAACCCAGCTTTGTGGCCAGGTAACTCGTTTTTGTGACTCTACTGAAGTTATACCCCATAACAACAAAAATAACAATGACAACAATAACAATGGCAATAGGTGTGATACAGAATATATATGCTGATGCTGCTGATCTGGGAGGGGTGAAAAGAGGGGGTGTCCAATGAATGAGTCACCCCGCCCCGCACCTGCGCTATCAGGTTGTCTTCAGTAATAGCAGGAGCTCCAAAGCTGTTGCGAACATCCACGAACGTCGGCAGACCTCCGGTTGTCAAGCCCTGTAGAATAAACGAATAAATGAATGAATGAATAATAACACAAATGACAGGCAAAACCATCCACCCACCCAACAAAAACGTCCCTCGGAATGAAAAGCTGCACCAGTGATAAACCACAGGAAGACATGAAATCTCAGATGCACAAAACCATGAAGTTTTGAGCAAAACCCCTCAGATCGCTGGCAAGATCAACCCAGGTGTCTCAATTCCATAAGAAAAAGGAAGGGAGAGAGAGAGAGAGAGAGAGAGAGAGAGAGAGAGAGAGAGAGAGAGAGAGAGAGAGAGAGAGAGAGAGAGAGAGAGAGAGAGA